TTTGTTTATACCATATGAAATATATACACTAGTCCATATTGAATAAGCAGACAGCAATACGGGAAGTCAGATGTCAGTCTCCAGGGTGGGTACTGTCAGTATTTAAGGCTTCATTTGACGCACCTTTACTTGGCCTCATTAAAAAGAGATGTGCTTCAGTATCCCCCTCACCTGCCAGGCCAGGAACACAAAACTGTGTCTCCTTTCATTTTCTACAGATACGGGGTGGGCTGGTTGTAGTAGCAGCAGGGTCATCAGCTTTTAAAGTGTGGCTGGCTTTGGCTGCTGCTTTGGTTTTAGCTGTGGATTACCATAAGTAATTCTGGGGATAATCGGAAGTCCTAGTCACATTCTATTAGAAACTTCTCCTTGAATATCTGTGCAATACCCAATTTCTATTTTTATATTAAACTACTTGATTTGTCATTCTGCCCCCCTTCTATCCCAAAAGTAGTATTTAGTTTCTATCCTTATATTCCCAGCCGTGATGAAAATAGTGATATTTGCATTGGTCTCATTTCCATGTACCCTCTTCCCCCTTCCTTTACAGAAAGCTTCCATTCTCCCTTCCAGAAAAACGGGTAGAAACTAATAGTAGCGCCTCTGGGGAAGCAACCCAAGGGCCAGTGGAAACCAGAGAGTCAACATCATCTCAAGTGGAAAATTTGGGGATCCTTCCAGGAATATCAGGTGGGTAGGTATTTTGACTTAGTACTGTAAATGTTTTCAAATGTACTTATTAAAAAAAGGTAAGGGTTCAAAGTGGCATATTGTGTACCATGTACCCATGTGACTTCAGTTTAGGTTTGTTATAACCATGCATTTCTGATGATCAGGAATATAATTTGTCATGTGTTTCTTTTTATTATTTTTAGGGGGGGATACCAGGGATTGAACTCGGGGGCATTAAACCACTGAGCCACATCCCCAGCCCTATTTTGTATTTTATTTAGAGACAGGGTCTCACTGAATTGCTTAGTGCCTTGTTTTTTTTTTTTTTTTTTTTTTTTTTTGCTGAGGCTCGCTTTTACACATAATCCTCCTGCCTCAGCCTCTCGAGCTGCTGGGATTACAGGCGTGTGCCACCACATCAGGCCTGTTTCTCATTATTCTTTCAGGTAAAAATGTACATTTTTGAGGAGGCTTCAATGACTATTTAGGTTGATCCCAAACCAACCACAGAATAAAACTTTGACCCTACCATGAATAAAGGAGCTGGTAATTGACAAGAGTTGCTATGAGGATAGTATGTGTGTGTGTTCTAACATCTACATTTTGCTCTGTAAGGACTAAATAAATGTCTGCAAGAGAAAATCCTTCTTGAATTGGAAGGAGATCCTAAGAATTGTTCAAATGACCTAGAGCCCTTGAACTTTAGCATCCCAGAAGGGACAGACCCTGTTAATTTTTATTTCAGGTATCTGGTAACCATCTTAAGATTTGAGTTACTGTTATGTAAAACCTACGTTTATTAATCAATAACAAGTATATACAAGTAGTGAGTACATCGGTTCTACTTGAGTCATTACAGTCCATGCCCTCCTTCCTGTTGAGCCACAATGAAATATTTCAGGGACTTTTGTAATAGTTTCCTGTCAGTGCCACTGTCTATGTCTTTTGCTTCATTACAGGACCAGTTTTTCCCTTGCACTGTCTAATTTTTATTGCTTGATGTGAAGTGGAGGGATTAAGCTATAGATTCCGGTGGTGTACACTCTACCAACCCTGGAACTCCAGTCATCTGAAGACCGCACTGTCTCTTAGAAGATGTCTATGGATGTTCTGTTTTACCTTTTAAATAATGTTATTTTTAAAAATGAATTTGCTCTGCTGCACATATTTATGCAGTTTTTTTCCAGACTTAAATTTGTGGTGAAAGTGATTTTTAAAAATAAAATTTTGACAATCGGAAGAGTTGCTTTTCTTCTTTGAAGAAAGCTGAAATCCTGACTTGTAGGGTAGTTGACCAGGCAACTGTATTCTGCGGAAGCAAAGGGTGTGCTCACCACCCAAGAGCACAGACAATGTTTGAGTATTATACTGTGGTGTTTCTCTGATTAATACCCATTTCACTTCTTATGGGTGTAAAATAAAATGAAATAATTAGAGTTCTCCCCACAAGGCTAAAAGAAAGTGGACTCTTCTATTTGCTACTCTTGGATTTTCAGTAATCCACCACCCCCACTTTTGCATCACTTATCTTATTATGTGGTAGTAATTTCAACTCGGTTTGTAACTTCAGATTCCTCTATCTTGCTCATACAAAGAGGCTAGTGTTTTTAGGGGGAAAAATTATACTCGCTGTCACAATTTCTGTTAGCTTTGTAAGTGAATCTTATTTAATCTCTCATAAGTAAACAAAAAAAAAATCCTGCAGTCTGTGCTGTCTTGGATTTAATCAACCAATTATAGGATGGGACCTCAGGCTCACAGAATTTCCACACTGTGAGGAACTGGGGGAGGCCACCAGCAAGCCAGATGAAGTGGTCCAGGGACTCCCTTCTCACTTGTGAATGGAACGAGGACTGAATTCCCTTATGAACAATTGAAAGTGTTAAGGAGAAAGCCCAGAATGATGTTGCAAATGCACCTCCTCCTTGGGCAGTGGAGAGTGCATAATGTATTTTCTAAGTGCTGTTGGCTCTGTTGTCTCTCCTCTCTTCCTGCTTGTTTTCCCTCTGCTCCCTTTTGCTTCCTGACAAAATACAGATTAGAGGATTTACTGACAATATGGAATGTGTCTAATACTGAATATAAGGACATTTTTATTTCAGTTCATGAGAATTTTTTTTTTTTCCTTCTCTGGGGAGCCAATCATTAGAATATCCGTCACCCATGGAGACTAAACTGAAGATAATTTGATTTAGCTAGTTGAGTGGCTGCAATTCCTTTTGTAAATAAATGTTCTGTGTTTAAAAATTATATATTTCCTACTTCTCAGGGTTTTCTACCAAAGTATTTGAGTTAGCTGCACTTGCTGAAATTCTAGAAAAACAAAGGATGGAGAGAACCCAAAGATTTCTAATTAAATAAAGGTCCAAATGAAAAAGGCACTATTAGAAATTGTCTTTAGCTATGTTAGATCAGCTCTTCTGGAGGTCATACAACTTCCAAAAGTTCATACCAAAAGTCATGCTGAAATCACGCAGGGCATGATACTTACAGCAAGAGGCAAAGAAGTGTGGGTGAGTGAGAGGTAACAAATTTAGGACAGGGGCAGCAGGATGGAAGGGCCACACTACCAGAGTCCTGGGGCCTGCACTGTTTACACGTTCTGTACCTCTCTGCTATGTTACCCCTTTCTACTGATTGTTGATTATGAGGTTGTAAGGGCCAGAGTCAAGAAGTGCAAGCATTATCTGTAGTCTTGGATGCTGGTGGTCTATAGAATAATAGCAGTAAAAATTCTGATCAAATTTAATCATTTCCCTCACATTCAAGCTAACAAGAATTCATTTAAGAGGGGAATTGAAATGTTAAAAAAATAAAAGTAGATCCAGTACTTAAATAGGATGAATAAAATTATAAAGCTTTTAGAGGGAAATATTAGAAAATATGGATTTCAGATCAATAAAAAATATTAAAAGAGAAATGAAATACACTATGAAGGGAAAGATTGATTTCTTAGATCACATCAATATTTAATTTTTCTGTTTTAACAGAAGAATTAAAGAATGCACCATGAGAAAATGAACAGGATTACATACATATTAGTTTGGGTTCTCTATGGAAACAGAATCAAATTTCATACATGTATAAAATAAGGATTTGGCTCTTGGTATTATGGAGCCTGAGAAGTCCCAGGATGTGATGTGGGCAAGCTGGGGATCCAGGAGAACTGATGCCCTACTTCTAGGTCAAGTCCAAAGTCATTTTGAGAAAGGTCTGTCAAAGTTATTATGCACATGAACTACCTGGGAACCAGAAGAGCCAATGGTGTAAGTTCCAGTCAGAAGAGGAGTCCAATGTCCCAGCATGGAGACAGCGAGGCAGAGTACGGATTCTCCCTTAATCAACCATTTAGTTCCACTCAGGCCTTCAGTGGATTGGGTGAGCCCTTCCCACACTGAGGGGCAATCCGCTTTACTCAGATTATTGAGTCACATGTGAATCTCACTAAGAAACAACCTCATAGACACACCCAGAAAAATGTTTAACCAACTATTCAGAAACCCTGTGAACCAGTAAAATTGGCATAAAATTAACTATCACACCTAGAAATCGGCACAAAAGATTCATAATAAGCATAAATTGAAAGAGTCGTGTCTAGAATATATGATCTTTACGAACTAAATTTAAAAATACGACTAAATAGGAAACAGGAAAACATTTCTTAAGAGAAGACATCCACATGGTCAATAAATGTGATTTCTCCAGAAATTATGATATGAAAAAGTTATGATATGAACTATTCATTAGTAGTTCAGAAAATCTAAAACACAATGAAAGAATGAGAAATCCAATCAGAAATGTGTGCCCTATGTCAGCTTCTTGTTGCTGGATAAACTCTAAAGCTTTTGTTCACTATAATATAATTAATAAGAACATACAGATAAGTAGGATATCACCTAGGTACATCCATGTACCTAGATGTATAGGAAATTTTATAGGTATCCTTATTTTTTAACATAATTATCTTTATTATCTATTCATATTAAGGTACTTTTTAAAAAGTTAGTACTAGGGTAAACCACACTAAGACTAAGCTGTGAGAGATGTCTCTGAAATTTAATATGCAAATGACCCACCTGGCGATTGTTGAAATGCATTCTATGACTGATCTTGTAGCATTTAAGCACCTCACAGGTGAGATCATGTAGCTACTGCTAAGAGATGGACCTGACTTTGAGAGCAAAGATGCAAAGGAGTTTCCTTGTGCTAACCAAGTAGAGGATAACTGCAGACAGCTGAGTGTGGCCAAGGTTTATAAACACCTGAGGACGCCCAGTTCCTGGCCACTTCCTGCCCCCCCTGGCTGCAGTGTCTTGGAGGCTGTCATGATGAAGACCTCTGTGCTCCTAGGCGGGTCCTTCCTCCTTTTTCTGATATTTTGGAATTCTTCTGGACTCGAACCAGGTACAAATAAAAAATGTCTTTGGAGGATAGTGATTTAAAGTGACAAGATTGTTTTCTAAAACTCAGCTGTGCAAAGACCTGTCCCCCCCCCCCCTTACCCCCGATGATAAACCAACAGAAAGGGCTGCCTATTTCTGGTTAGACTCAGTTTTTAAAAAGTGTCTTTAACCTTTGCTCAAGGTATTTTTTGCCTTTACAAACCAATTTGAGGGCCCCTCAGGTTTAATTATCTTCTATTGTTATCCCTTTTCTATATTTCTTTGAAAATATATGAACCCCAATTATAAAAGAACCAGGAGAAGAAGGGATCAGAGATCCATGGGTTTCTGGGAAGGGAGGGTATAAACTCTTCAACTGAATGCGATACTGACCGAAGGAAGTGAGCAGCTGGATTGGGAGAGATCATAATTGTTTCCTTCATCTGCTGAGCTTCCAGAAACCTCAACTCTGGTACTTGTTAGCGGTGTGGACCTGGGTGAGTGATTTGAAGTCCATGTGTCTAATTTTGGCCGTCCACAAGAAGTTATTGGGATGTACGCGAGTCTGACTTAGTATTTCAGTGAGGTAATTTGAGAGGCCGTCTATGGTTTGCCTCTGGGCCCAGCCTGAAGTCCGCGAGGCTCATGCTGCAGTGAGGGGTTAGAGGGGACGCTGGTAGACCTTCCCCATGTCTGCCACTGCATGGCTCCTCTTCCATCTCTTTATAACACTGGTTCTCAGCAGGGGTGACATCCCCCCCCTCCTCCTGGGAAGATTTGGCAACTTCTAGAGGCATTTTTTTGTTGTTACAACTGGGGTTCCTAGTGGTATCTGGTGGAGACTGGTCAAGAGTACAGTCTAGAGCATCCAGATCACTACCACCAAAGGAACCCAATGTCCACAGGACTGAGGCGAGAAAGCTAGCCTCGTGGTGCTCTACCTCTGCTTAGAGTGCTTTAAGACCTGTGTTTGTGAGACTGTTTTCTATGCAAAACCAGATCAGAAACTAGTTCCAACCACAGCTCTTTCAGATAATCTTGATTTCTAATGACTAAGGACAGTGACTTTCTCTTTCCAGTGGGTTTCTGAGTAAATAAGAATGAGTGGGGACACCTGCTATGAAACCCTAATCCTTCTCTGATCCCTCTCTTGTGCTCTGACTCGGCTTCTCTGGGGTGGTCAAGCTATTAGTCTTCAGACTTTGCCTGTCATACCTTGTTTGTTTGATCGTTCTTTATTTGGAGATTTTTACCTTAATATACATTTTGTTACGTGGGTCTGACTTCTCTATGCCATTCCATGAGACCAAAATCATGGTGTGAGGTTGGGGGTGGGATGGAAAATTAAGTGTACTTGAGTCACATCAGATTGGCCTGGGAAATGGGAGTAAAATGAATTAAAAACCTAGCTCCTGCTCTGCGAGTACCACCTACATATTTGTGGTTGACTCTATCCAGCTCTGGCAAAGACTTTGGTCCCTCAGTGGAGATCATCAGTGAAATGAAAACTGAACAAATAGCTTAAAAAGAAATCTTGTCTCCCATCTATTTCTCTTCCTATCTTTTTTTACCTGATTCTGTTTTATTTATTGGCCATCTTGCAGATCTCAGTGTTGGTACCCATTAGACCAGTTCTCAAACTTTAATGTATATACAAGTCATCAGAGATCTTTGTAAGTGTACAGTGATTCAATAAGTCAGGGATTAGACCTGATAATCAATATTTCTGATGAGTGCTCAGGGGATGTTGATGTTGCCCCTTCATGGACCAGACTTTAACAAGGCCTTAGATCATTTACTGACAGAGGATTCTCTATGAAAAGGATAATTAACTGATGAAGGGAGTCAGGCATTCCCTGTTCTAATTTTCACTCTACCATATCCTCCTAAGACACAGATCTTCAGTAGATAGAGAACATAGTCTGGATTCCAGTAATGACTCGGTCGACTAGTGATGGCCAAGAGCGTTGGTCTGATTTGGTGCTAATGCCAGCTACACTATGTACTCTGTTTGATATCATGCTCAAGTTATTGGATGGTTGGAGCATTTCATTTTTCATCTGGGAAATGAAGGGATTAACTGTCCTGTCTCCAAAATCTCCTGTTGTACTCAAAAACAAAAATATATGTGTGTGCATTGACACTTGACCTGGAAACTGGCACATCAATAGCAAAACTCTGCTTATTTAATGTGATGACAATAAACTTGGGAGTCTCCAATGGAAAAACAAAGCTTGTAGTCTAACATTCTCCCCGGAATGATAGTGAGCCTGCCTGGGAATGGTTTACTTTTAAAGTTAATGCGTCCATTGTTGGGTTGCCTACTTTATAGCATCTATTTTAGTTTGAATGGTGCTTGTGATTCCCATTCTAATATGGACCATGAGTATTGAACTATGATCCTGTTGCTACAAGGACTGCAGATTTGTTTCATTCCTATCCCACATCTTGCTTCTAAACTGTTATCACTATATGTGCTATCAGTATATGTCAAACTACTTACATAATTTGTACTATTAATGTTCATAGCAAAAATACAGTTCCCCTCCAAAACATAAGCACCTTGCGCTTGCATTTCTAACCTATTTTAGCTATCTCGGTAAGCAACAGTGTTGAGTTGTTCAAGTTCATGTTTCTAGCCCAAATGAGGCCCCCTTCCTCAGCCAACATTTTACAAAAAGACGTCTATAGATCATTGAATATTTCCAAGTGTCCTGAGAAAAAAGTTTAATGTTTTATCCCTGTGGTTGGACACATCACTTATTTAATTAAAATCCTCATTGAAGACAAAATGCATGCCATGTGGCTGGGGATAAAGCAATTTGATATTTAGGGATAGATGGCAACATGTGCCTTATATTTACTCTTAAAAATGTTATTGGTCTATAGCCACAGCTGCTTCAGGTCAACATGAGTCTGAACCTACATGTACCAATCTTTTATGTAGTATTAAGATTCAGGTCTATCTATATGAAGGGATTTTTGGTGGGAGTCCCCTTTTATACATATCTTTAAATTGCTTTTACTTTATTGAGCATTTAAGTTCTAGGCACAAACCTCAAAAGGTAGGTAATAGTCACTATATTCATTTTAAATATGAGTAGAATGGCTGCAAAGAATTAAATAACAAATTATCTTTTAAGATGGGTTTTATGACAGTGTAAAATACAGAGCTCCAAAGTTACCCCCACTGTCCATTGGCTATTGAGCCCTTGGAATGTGAATTGTGCTACAAAGAGACAATGCACCCTGATTTCAGAAAATCTGTATAAGAAAGAAGTGAAATCACAATTTTTGTTTTATTATTAGTTAATGATTGTATTTGGGATACATTTGGTTATATGAATTAAATTTAAAAATGCTTTCATGATTATGTCAGGGTGTATCCTGGTGTTGCAAATAACTAAAAATAATTTTTAAATCCCCCAAATTATAGGTCCTTTTTATTTTTGAATCTGGCTACCAGAAAACTGAAAGATACCTGTGTGGCTTGCATTATACTGTTGTCAGACTGCACCATTATGTCTTAAGGTAAAGACGTGCTAATACCACATTGATTCTTGGATTTTTGTTTTGTTTTAGCAGTGACCTCAATCTGTTCTGATGATTGGTTGATAGTCAGAATGAAAATAAGGCCCTTTGATAATGACACAGAAGTTAAAATTGGTGACATTAACCTGGGAGATGGTTGTCCTGTAACAAGGAAGCTCTCATTCAACTATGAGTTTTCTTATCCTGTCGTTTCCTGTGGGATCAATAAATTTGTAAGTGCCTTCATGATTCTTCCTAAAACATATTCTGCATTTTTATTCAGGCATACATAGTATCAAAGATCTCTTTTAAAAAATCTCAAGCACAACTATAACACTTGCATCATAAATTCTCACATAGGGGTCAAGTATATGTTTATGTAATGATGATGTTTCAGATGAAGGGTTTTGAAAATGTTCAAAGTTATGGACAATGTCATCTCCATTTTTCTCCTTTCACCTGCTGTCAGATTTTAAGATTTTTTTTTTTGGTGGGAATTGGGTGTGGATATGTGCACCTGGCAAGCTATTTTGGAAAGGGCAAATATATTTTAAACTAGTCCCAGAGATATCATTTGTCTCTTATCACCTCATCTGGCTGTGGAGATAGGGACAAAGGGAGGATAAAGTGTTTTCACTCAGATCTACTGTCTTAATGTAAAATGCCATATTCAGATTTTTCTAGAAAGGACACATTCTCTTCAAATTATTCAACCACTGAAATAGTTCAATGCTTCTAGTATTAAAACTCTCAATCATTTCAGGTGTTCTCTGGGAATGATGTTTTCATACTATCCAAGATCAATTACAGACCAACATTGAATATCACCTATTCGTTTCAGGTGGTTTGCTTTGTGAAGAGGTACGTACAGTCCACTATTCCCCTTACATGTTTTTAAATTTATCCTTTGGCTGATAGGTGTTTCTGTGAAGAACACAGCCTCAGAGGATGCCTAGGGAACAAAAATGATGTCTAAAATTTTCTCAATCCTTGATAGGAGAGATTTCAAATGCATAGAAGAGTAGAAAGGACTTTTGTTTTTGTGAACCCCTGTATAACTAACATCCAGTCATTTTCCTGAACTTTATCCAGCATCCACTTCTCCATCCACCAATTTTTTGGATGCATTTCTAAGTGAAGACACAAGTGCATTTCCCTTAAGTACTTCATGCTGTCGTGAATAAGGGATCAATATTTACTTAAAGTTCTTACTTTGAACAAAAATTTACCCACTATTAAACATATAGATGTTACATGAGTATATGCATTTGTCATCTCATTGATATGTTTGGCCCCAAACCCCATCAGCATTCATCAGACTATGATTACTGTAGAGTGATTCTGCTACCTCTCACTGCCCTTGTCTCTTCTGTAACTTTATGTAAATGGAGTCACAGTGTGTACCTCTGTCTGGCTCCTATTTCCCAGCATAATATTGGAGATTCCTTTGCCTTGTATATATATTCCAGTAACCTGTTGCTCTCCATTGCATGTTTGTTATTGTAATGAAGACATGTTGTTCTCAGGCTCTGGCAGGTATGTATAAATCGGCTCTGACCATAGTTCTGCAATTCTTTGTGCAGGTGCATGTTTTCTTTGGGTTAATACCTAGGAATAGGACTGCTTGATCATAGGGAAAGAGTAGCTTAGTTGTGAAAGAAACATGTCTGTTTTCTCAAATAGGGTGTAGTGTTTGCACTTATACTAGGAATGAAGGAGACTCTGATGGTTTTATCAGATGATGATAGTTGTTTTCTAGCCATTTTTTTTTGTTTTTGGTATCAGGGATTAAATCCAGAGGTGCTTAACCACTGAGCCACATCTCCATCGCTTTTATTTTTTATTTTGAGACAGAGTTTAATTGAGTTGCTTAGGGCCTCATTAAGTGTCTAAGGCTGGCTTTGAACTTGTGATTCTCCTGCCTTAGCCTCCCAAGTCACTGGGATTATAGGCTGGTGCCACTGCACCCAGCTTAATGGTATCTTCTGATGAACAGACATACTTCATTTTGAAATTTATAGACTTCTTATGATTATTGGTTTCTGTTTTAAAATTCTTGCCTACTGTCAAATTTTTTTCTTTAAAAAACTTTGTGGTTTTAGATTTGAGTCTGTAAGCCATCTTAATTTTTATAGGCATTGAGGCAGATAAAATATTTTCTCTTTCCATATGGATATCTTGTTGATACAATACTCAATTTAAATGACTTTCTGTTCCCTCTTGGATTGCACTGATTCCTCTGTGAAGTAAATGACCATATAAGTTTGGATTTCTCTGGACTGTCTTTTATGTTCTAATTAATCTGTCGTGCCTATTCTAATTTACAACTTAGCAATGTCAGCTTTAGATATTCAGGATGCCTTCACACATATTCTCACTATATCCTCATATTTCCTGACAAAATTGGGGCACCTTGGAAGAAACCAACATTTAAAAAATTTGTGTTTAGATTTTAATAGTCATCATCTCTAAACCTATGCTGTCTAGGAGTCGGTAACTGCATGCAATATTTACATTTAAATTTAATACAGCTAAGACGGGGTGTGGTAGCACATGCCTATAATCCCAGTGGCTTGGAAGGCTGAGTGAGGTAGGAGGATGGCAAGCTCAAAACCAATCTCGCAACTCAGGATGGCCTTAAGCAACTTAGGGAGACCCTACCTCAAAATAAAAAATAAGAAGTGTTGAGGAGTGGGTCAGTGGTTAAGTGCCCCTGGGTTCAATTCCTGGTACCAAAATAACTCAATAAATGAATAAGTAAATTAAATACAAGTAAAATTTAGTTCTTTAGTTGCTTTAGCTATTTTTCATGCTCAATGACAGCACGTGGCTAGGGTTACACGGTGCAAATTTAAAGCAATTATTTTATCACAGAAAATGTTACTGGAAAGTGTTGCTAAATGGAATAAATAGCATTTCTAACTGGACAGTAGCTACTGATTAATCATAAGCATTCAGATTTCTTTATGTGGTCCTGAACATTAAATAGCCTTTCCCTGAGTCCTGTGTTTTTTTGATGCTAGTTACATTTAGATTGCATAATCATATTAGAGTTGAAAACAAATATAAAATCATTTGAAGGATAAATGGTGACTAAGTAATGGAAGAGGAGGAACATCATTGAATATTTCTGACATCCTAGGTACTGTGGAAACATCCTTCTTAAATCATCTCACTTAATCTTAATGCCATAAAGTATGTGCTATAATCTTTAGTCTTTATTAATGAAGGCATTGAAGCAATTAGCTATTATATGATCTGCTTATTAGGGTCAAGATCTGACACCTGTTGATGGATACCATATTGTACTTGAAACTTCTGCAAATCTCTGAAAATCTGGTCTTTAGGGTTCTCTACAAACAAGGTATTGGGCTTTTAGCATTAGGCCTGAGGCTAGAGGAACTAAATCCTCAAGTTTGAATGCACGAATACTTTAGTCTTTAGTTATCTAGGAAAACGTGCATCCCTGAAGCTTGTGTTCTAAAGAAACATACTTTTCTCATGAAAAGTTTTCACAAACTGGTCTGAGTTGCCTATACTTCCTGGAATAGATGTGAAATGTGTCTGGGGTAACTTCCTTTAATCTGAGGAACTCTCTGTTCTTCCAGACTCCAATTTCTTTTTTAACCCCTGTGGCTACAATAGTAATTGCTATATTTTTATAAGAACTTCATGTCCTGTCCCACTGAATTGATCCAGGGGTTAGCCTCTAACTTGAACAATGCCAGTCAGTCCCCCCATCCCAAGGCTTTGTAAACTTTCAGCCTCTGGTCAGGTAAAGGCTAGGAGATTAAAAAAATACAAAACATAACAATTCAGAAAAGTAGTTTTCCTCTTTTGGCTCGTGAATAGGAGTGGTGTACAGCAATGGAATCAAGACGATGAGCAACGATGCATTCCAATTCTAGTTGCCTTTTTGTGACTGGTATTGCTATGTTCATCTTTTAATCAGTTATTAGATAATCTAAATATGCAAAAAGTGGAGTTCTTGTTGGTAGTCACTGCTTTTAACTGCAATGTAACATCTTCCCCACTTCTTGATAGCATCCTGAGAAGTTCAATCTCTGGTCAGTTGACAGGGGAGTACCATTTAACACTAGAATTTCATATGTGACTTATTTTTTTCTTTTCCCTTCCCACAATTTCAGCCATTCTAGGGTATGAGGTTTTTGATTGTAGATTCCTAAAGGTGATCTCTTTTTGTGGTCTTAAAAGTCTCTCTACTCTTTTTCTGGGTGTGTTAGAGTAGGGTAATGATGTTAAGACGGGGAGAGGAGATGCCCATCCATTGAGATGGTTGTAGGTCTCTCCTGGCCAACTCTGACTGGCCATGGATGCCTTCTTGGTGGTCAGTATAAACACTGGTTCTCCTCCCTATGTGCCTTTACGAATGGATCTGTGACAAACCGCAGTTTGGATTCTTCAATTTATTTCCTTATGCTGGACTTAAGGAGGATCTTGGCACAAGTTGCAACTCGATTACTTTATCCACTAAGCTCTCAAGAAAAGGATTCGCTTTTTCAAAAGCAAATGTGGAAATAAAGCCTGTTATACTCACAAAGGGATCTAGAAAATATGAATGATATTTTAGCCTCCCTTTATACATGTGCTTGGTCACCCTCATCCTCCTGCGACTATCCAAGTCCTGGCTTTGGGCGATGGGTGAGCCCCTTCCTTTCCCTTCCCTCCTCTGCAGGGGAAAGCAGTAGGGAAGGGACACTGTAACTCCTTAAATAGGATGGAGAAGGGTTGGGATGGCTGTTGAAGGTGACAGAAACTAACTGCTTTGTAACTTTCGAGTGGAGCATCCATCTCTCCTGCCAGGCTACGAGTTGGGTGGTGGAATCTTTTCCCCACATACATGGGTCTCATTTTAAATTCCCCATCTCTTTCTGTGCATTAGAGACCTACCTGTGGCTGGCTTGGTGCCAAGTGTCAGTCTGTTCAGTCCCATAGCATATTTGTCACACCTGACAATTGTTTTGACATTTGACACTTCAACTCTGGGGCTCTAGGATCAATTCTGGCTCAATAGGTATCATCCTATTCAAGATCCTATTATAAACATTTTTTAGGTTCGTCAAACTAATTTGCCTTGCTCTAAGTTAGTTACTTTGAGTATTTTTTTTTACTTATAAAATACAATCAGGTTTATGTTAGTGATATCTATAAATATGTATTTACATATGTAAAATGTATACATAATTTCCCACAAAAGTTTTTGTGACATAGAAAAGACTATTGATCCTATGTGTATGTATTTTTTATTTGCTTTGCATTTAGGTTTCAATTATCTCTGATGCCTTTTGGAATGAATGGGTATGATGCCAATATGTTGGGTGATAGCTTTGAAGTGACAAAAGAAAGGCCACCAATGTCAGCTCCCCCACAAAGCAAAGAATGTGAACCTATCTTTAGCAGTTACAGTAAGGTGAGGATATTTAGTTTATTCATCATTTCATGGTCAACTGTGATCTGCTTGGTGTAATGTCAGTGTAAGAAATAATATAAAGCCCTATTTGAATACTGGATATTCAAATTGCTTTGGTCTTAAACTGAACCCTGTAGACTTGGGAGTATCTTTATACATATGTGTCTGGATGTGTAAGATAACAAAAATAATAGAAGTAGGAAATAGGCCAAATAGGCTTGAAAATTTGGAGGAATTTGCTAAGTCTAATTAGTATTTCTCATAATAATAAACCTTCAGAAAAACACCTTTCTTAGTAAATATTTTTTTCTGGGTTTGAGTATGCCACACAATTTGTGCATAGACAATTTTGAAATTGACATTTGGTAAGGAAATGAACTTTGTTCTAGGAATCTGATAGCCACTTAAAATTAAGACGTATAAATGCTTGATATCTTGAGTCTCAGGAAAGCAGTAATCCAGCCAATACTTAGACGCTAATCACTTTTTAAAAAAACCTTTATAGACTTGACAGTAGAACCTATTTTGATATATTTATACAAACATGCATGCTAATCCCCTTCAATAGCATATTTTACTTATATATTTGATATAGTTGAGTAATGCTATAGATTGCATTTAAGAGTATAAATTCCATCAGGGTGTGGTGGCGCATGTCTGTAATCCCAGCAGCTCTGGCTGAGATGGGAAGATTGTGAGTTCAAAGCCAGCCTCAGCAAAGGGGAGGCGCTAAGCAACTTAGTGAGACCCTGTCTCTAAATTTAAAAAAATATGTATATAAAATAAGGCTGGGGATGTGGCTTAGTGGTTAAGTGCCCCTGAGTTCAATCCCTGGTAACAAACAAACAAATACCAAATTTCATTCATCACACTATTTCCAGTTGAGCATCTCTGATTTCTGTGAGCAACTGTTGGATGAGAGTGACTTGCAAGCAACTTTTAATTGCTGTTACCCTTATCATATAGGAACAACTATTCATGAAGCCCTGGACCAAAAATATCTGTATCAAGACTTCCTCTCCTCCCTGAGTTCTAGGAAAAAGTGCTGTTCCCTCGTCTGGGACTCAGTTTCAATAATCCTGTTGTTCTGTCTTCCTAAGATGAGTACCAATATGTGTTGTCTGTTTAAATGCCTTTCTGAAATTTTGGATAGTCTACATCTCTAATGTGATGTTTAAACCTTTTAAATGAGTTCATTGGAAGTGACATTACCATTGCAACTTTGTATGTGAAGTCAAGTTCATAATAAAGCTGCTACCGTATGAAAGCTTGCCTGTGTTGTTGGGTTGTACAGTGGCTTGCTTCCCCAACACAAAATTACTCACAACTCAAGTTGTTCTTCTCATGGGTTGGCTCTCAGGTTCTCCTCTGAATATAATTACCCAGTTCATTCTGCAAGTGAAATCTTGTGCCTTTGAGTATACTGTTTAAGCCCAAACCAGAGGGTACCACAGACATGCAAAGGGATCCATTTATACAAATGACTATTTCCTTTAAGTAAAAAATTTTCTCCCATGGGAAAAACTGGTAGTTTGGGGTAGAACATTGTCTTATGTCTAGATTCCTTATTCCTGGTAGCAGTGTCGGGAGCAAAACTCATGACACAGGAAAATGAAAAACATTGCTTTGTTCATTAGACACAATTTGTGCTTGCTAAATCTGAATGAAAGTACCTCTTTCCCATCTAGCTAAAAACATTTTTATTCCTAGAGAATGTGAAGACATGCAATTTCTTCATCTAGAATTCGTGTATAACTTAATTGAGCTGTTCAACAAATTCAACAATTTGTTGACAATAGACTGACCTTTCCTTGATCACAAAAGCCACAGTAGGTTAGCCAGGCCTTTGTTAGAGGGTCTGAAATAACTTTTGGGTAAAAATTTCTTTAACTTCCAATCTCATTGTTGGTTCCAGTAGTAGACAGCATGCCAAGGGAAAGAAAGATGGACAATACTTTCCTGACTTAATTTTTTTGTTGTTTGCTAAGGATTTAGGCAGCTGTGAAAATGAAGAAACGGCTTCTCTGCCATAAAGAATCTTACTGATCTCCTGGAAGCCTAGTAATGCAAGGCTGACCAGCTGGAAGTAGCTATAACAGCTAATCTGATGAAAATTGTTTTTGATTTAAAGGTTAGAGTTAAGGTTGTACCTGGTGCAACAGGAGATACGTTGTTTCATTTACTATTTGCAGCGCTGGGAATCAAACCCAGAGCCTCACTCACATGCTAGGCAAGCATTCTACCACTGAGCCAAACCCCCAGCCCAAGGATATGTTTTAGATGATGTGAAAACATCCAAATGGTTTGGGCAGAGTCTGAGGAGAACAAGGGACTCAAGGATGTCTCCTGGATGAGTGTGTGAACTGCGGTGCTATTTAGATGGGAAAGGGAAAGATCTCTATGGAAATCAATATTTGGACAGGTTCAGAATCTACCTTTTAGCTATTACCATTCACCATTTAATTTTGCTGGTCTCCCGTAAATATACCCTGAAGTCTCCCTTGGTATTCAGAAAGATTTTTTTTTTTTTTGCTAATCATTCCAGAAAGGTTGGGCCATGGTTTAATAGGGCTAAGTGAGTAATGGGTTTCATCCCTCTCAAAGCAGTTTTGACAAAATAGAGAATAAAGAAGGTAAATGGAAAAATCAGTTAATTCCCTGGGTTCCCTGGTAGGAAAACAGAATGAGGTGGGATGTGAGTCAGATGGGTATGATCAGAGTTTCTATGATCTTTGAGTTTCTATCAAGCAGAATGATTCTAATAAACATTCAAGCAATGGATTCTTCACATTTCTTGTTTCTAACGTGTACAAACATGAGTTTATATATTTTCATTTGTATATAATGAAAAAATATAATTTGCTTTTAGCACAGCCACAGAGAAACTAAGGAAAGATTTGTGCTTTAATTATAAGAAAGTTAATAAAATATTATGAGTTCATTATACTAAGATAGGGCTTGGGTAATACAAAGAATTATGCATGTGGTCCCTGCCAATAATATTCTGGACAAACTGCATAAAGCTACTTGAAAAAATTATTATGCACTTGCCTTGTTTTGCACGTATATGTAGAAAAGTTGTTTTACAGTGGGGTAAGGTGATAGTGGTAGTATAATTTTTGAATTACTACAAATAATCTTACAAAAATGGATAATGCATCTCATACAGTAAAAGAAAGCAAACAGTTATCTTCAAAACTTAGTTATGAAGTAGTCTCCAGAAATGCTACAAAACAATAGGTCCAAATAAACACAAAGAGGATATCCTCTATAGGTTCCGTGAAGGTTTGGGGATAATTGCTAATATAAGTTTTTATTTCTATTTTTAACTGAATCATGAATCTAGGTCCAGTCATTTACCATCAAATGCAATAATTTCATTCTTTTTTATGGTTGAGTAAAACTCTATTGTGTGTGTATAAAACATTTTCTTTACCCCTTTATTTGTTGATGGGCACCTAGGCTGGCTTCATAACTTGACTATTATGAATTACACTGCCATAAACATTACTGTAGTGATAGAGACTGTGTCACTAATTCTAATTTCAGTTCTTTTGGATAAATACTTGGGGGTGGGATAGGTGGATAAGAGGGTTAGTTTCTTCGAGGTTAGCTGCAAAATGTGGAATCTGAAAACACCCCAAAGAACGTTTCATATTGATTACATTAAAATCCATTGATCCTTGCCTTTTGCCAATGCATGCTTCTATAACATCATGAACGAACAATTTGGGAAATCTTGGTTTGCTGCATTATGCAGATCTTCTGAATGATGAGATATTTCATGATGGAACATAAACATCATAGTTATACCACTACAATACAGGTTTTCCAAAAATCTTATTTTCTTCTAAGTTTGAATTTAATTGCTGGACATAAATGTGAGTCACTTAAAGTGACTTCATTCAGTTTCAAGAATATATCCCTCAAATACCCAAAGCTGAGTAATGATTGTTTGCCCAACAGTAAAGATGGTGTCCTCTGTAAAACGTGGCCTGCTCAACTCACAGCCTGAACATGCCCCCGGAGCTTTTCCTCCAGGAAGCCTCTATTTTGACATGCAGCTGGGGGACTTCCTACATCCTTTCCATTTTATCACACAGAATATTGAAGAGATGTGTCCTCAAGGGTTGACAATTAATAAAATGAATACTTTTTACTGCCTTAAGTGAAATTGATCCTACCCCCTTACTGTGAGTATGAAGAATACAATGACAATCATCACAGTTTGGTGCCACTGCCTTGGTTGGTGTTTAGGAGGCAACAGGGTGAACCAATATTTTTACACATGCATGCAAATGTCAGTGGTGAAAAACAATGTCTCAGTATTATTACAAATATTTTTTGGTCCTGCAAATCTCCAGATATCCAATGACCACATATTGAGACCTATGGCAGTAGAAGGATATTCTTCTTTGTGGGATATATCATACATTCTAAAATAGTTAAATGCAAAGGGGCATCATATCAACAACTTACTCTCAAAGGGTGCAGAAAAAATAAGGTTCTTTGTACTAACAGCATTTCACTAAGTCAGTGCTCAAATAAATACAATTTTTATTTTAACTCTGTGTACATTTTACACTAGGTTATATTTAAATTCCATTATTCTTTCATAGAAGAAAATATTAAAACTGAAATATTGGGAATGGATTTTGTTCATTCTGAGGTCTTTGTAGTACTGGGAACACTGCAGGAATCACCTGAGCTCAAGCTGAGGGAAACAGTCATTTTTCCCCCCAGTATTAACTTTGGCCATATGCTTTTCTGTTTTTCTTTAAATCCACAGCAAACTTATAATTTACATAGTATGGCTGTATTTTTTTTAACAGAATATGAACATGAGCCTTAGCTTTCTAAAATTTACACAAATACAATGAAGAAGCTGGTCAAATGATTCCATAGGCTGAACTCAGCCAGTAGAAGCTTTTTGGAAGCATCTTAGATGTTTACAGTGGCATAGTTTAAAGGATAAATGTAAAACAAATAAATTTTAGATTGTACAAATGTTAATAACATCAGGAAAAAGCTTAACAAAAATAAGACAAAAACCGTAGTGTGGCCTTGTCTTTTCTTTCTCTAGTCCTCTACCCTCTTTGTGGTGGGTGAATAGGTTTTTCAGGTTTTCCTGACGTGGAACACGGTGGGTCACAGCTTTGGGGATCTCACATTAGAGAATGGGAATATGAGGTTGGAAATAGAAGTCTTTTGATAACACACAGGGATGCCCTGGGTTTATAGCACTTGGGATATAAGATTTGAGCCTTGCAGACACCAAAATCTGTGACTGCTCAAGTCCTTAGAATTACATGATGTGGTATTTGCATATATGCTCCTGCACACTTGAAATCCTTTCTAGATTACTTGTAATACCTAATACAATATGAGTGCCATGTAGATAGTTGTTACACTGTATGGTTTAGAAAATAACGATCAGAAAAATTTCTGCACTTGTTGAGTACATATGCAATTTTTTCCCAAACATTTTAGATCCATGATAGATGGAATCCATGGATGCAGACCCACAGACGCTGAGGGTTGACTGTAGTCATTTGAGAGCAGACTGAAACATTGAAAATATTATTTAGATATGAATAAAAATCATAATAGGAAATCAATTCAGGCTCAGTGTTATTTACTGTTAGCCTTTGATTTCAAAGTTTCTCTTAAAATTACAGAGAGACATCATGACATTTTTAGAATATAAAATTTAAAAAAACTTAGCTGGAACTTATATTTCAATGGAGTATTGGAGTAGAACTATATTCATTATGCATATACAATTATATACATGTGTATATATGTATATAAGATATTTCTTTAAATAGTTATAAAGTTTGAAATAACTGTATTAACTAAAACATTAATTTAGGAAGAATCAACAGACTTGAATTTGTGGGTTTTTTTTTTGTTGTTGTTTTTTGTTTTTTTTTTTGGTACCAGGGTTTGAACTCAGGTGTGCTTAGCCACTGAGCCACATCCCCAGCCCTTTTTATGTTTCTTAAAAATTTTTTAATTAATTAATTTAT